CTTTTCGAGCCCTCCTGTCCAGCACACTTGTACCCTCAGTGGTCACGGATTCATTCACCCAAGCAACAAATATTTACCGCACGCCTCCTGAGTGCCCGGCTCTACCCCGGGCATTAGGAGGAACGACTCAGACCCAGGCACTGTGCCTGAGGAGCTCTCTGGTCTAGTGGGGGAGACAGAGATGCAAACGGACATGTGGCCATCCAAGGCAAGAGGGGCTGACAGAAGTATGGACAGTGCTGAGGGAGGACAGGGGTGAGGACAGGCTCACAGCACAGGGACCGTGAGGCGAGTGAAGGAGCGGGGAGAGCAGTCTTAGCAGACGGAAGAGCGAGGGCAAAGAAAGAAGTGCAAGGGGGAGGTCTGTTCCGGGGACATAAGAGCTTTACACGAGCCCATGATGACATTTACCCCGCTGGACGCCAGGACAGATCCACCTTGGCCGGCCGCTGCCTCAGCTCTGTGAGGGCAGAGACCTGCCGTATTCAATCTGCTTGGTGAAGATGGGCTGTGGGCTGCATAAACGGGTGAACGAGCAAGTCACAGGGTACGTGGCCAGGACGCAGGCCACCCAGCCCGTCTGAGGTTTCCTGACAAGCAGTTTCATGGCAAAGTCCCACGGCGGAAGCGCAGAGGGCCTCAAAGGGCAGGCCCCGTTCGAGAAGCAAAGACCACATGTCGCACATGCTTTGATCTTTCCTCCCGGGATTCCTGGGAAGTGCAGCCGTGCGTCTGCTGAGATGCCAGTGAGGCGCTGGCGGAGTTCATCAAACATCATGTGTCACAAGTAAATGTCAGCAGTAAATGATTAATCCGTACCAGGAACAGAAGTACGGACGTTATCACAATGTACACAGCAGTGCTGCCAGTGACCACGCCGGGGCTCACAGCAGAAGAGCCAGGGCCCTGGACCATATGTCAGACATGGCCCAAGGATGGGCCCCCGGAGAGCTGAGCCCCGCCCAGCTGGCCAAACTGCAAAGCAGCCCTGGTGGAAGAGAAGAGAGAGGTGGGTTCTGGAGCCAGAATGCCTGGGTCTGAACCCAGCTCTGCTGCTGACCTGCTGTGTGACCTTGGGCAAGTTACTTACATTCTTTGAGCCATGTTTCCGCCTCTGTAAGACGGGGTCAATAATACCCCTGCCTCCTGGGACTGTTGTGAGGACAAGGACTCAATACTGAGACCTCAGTGCCTCACACATGGTATGCACCAATATGACGCAGACGTTATTATCGTTGTTGTTGTCATCTGGATCAGCCAGAGCCCACCTCGCCGCCCAGCAGGGGTGCTGTGGGACTCACAGGCCTTAGGCAATACAACCTGAGGGTTCAGAAGATCCTGATTCCCTGCCAACCCTGAAGCTACGCCTGCCGGCTAAGAGCAGCTACGAACAACAGGAACACTCCTACCCAGAGCCGGAGGCTGGAGCAGGACCTGACATCTACCTCTAACACACTTAAGTACCTTGGGGACAGTTCAAAGCCCTCTAGGCAAATAAAGGAGAAGACATTTAAAACAGAACCTCAGTCCCCTGAAAAGGAAGTCTAACATACCAAGCTTTCTCTCCACAAACTGCAGGGTGTTCAGAGCAGTGCGGAGACCCTACGATGACCACCCCAGGGAGAACCCCAGGGCGCAGGCACAGTGCCCTGACCTCGCCCACCGCAGCCCTCGCTCCCAGGTCACACCCTACTGCTTGCTGGGCGTTAGCATTTCTGCAGCTCTTCATAACCTCACCTCCAGCATCCTACTCTCCAAGCTGCACTCCCGCTGCCCAGCTCACGCCTGCGACAGCCCAGAATCCAACAGTGTCCCAGCCCCCTGGTACACGGGCCCTCAGTAAATACTGTTAAAGCTGAAGGAATACATCACACTTCTCACAAACCTGATCTGTGCCAGGCATCCTGCTGGGTGCTGGGGAATCACAGCGGGGTGGACAAGGCAGACCCAGCCCCTACCCCCATGGGGTTTGTGGTCTACCGGGAAGGAGGTCTACTGGGCACTGGGATAGGGTGCTACCGAGACACACAGCAGAAGCACCTACTCTAGCCTGAAAGCCAGAAGGGCAAGCAGAAGGGAGGCCACCAAGGAAGGGGAAAGTGTTGCAGGCTAGGGAAGGGTCTGGGCAAGGGCCAGGAGCACAGGGTGGCACAAGTGGAGACCAGAGGGAGAGGCACGGCCCCACTAGCGGCCCTTTTAAGCCATGCTAAGCACCTGCTGTGTTAAGGAAATAGGAAGCCCTTGAAGAGTTAAACAGGGGAGAGAATAACCAGATTTGTCCTCTAGAAAGATCACTCTGACAGCAGACTGGAAGAGGCTGGGAGGAGAGCAAGACTGCAGGCGGAGCAACAGCCTGGGGAGGGGGCAGTGCAGCAGGAGTCCACGTGCACGAGGACCACAGCCTGAAGAGAGCCAGCAGCAAAACGGAGGGGAACAGCAGCCCTGATTTTGGATTGGCACGTGGCTGGAATATAGGCTACACTTCCCAGGCTCCCTTGCAGTTAGTCGTGGCCATGTGACTAAGTCCTGGCCAATGGGACTCAGGTGGAAGGCATGTGTGCAACTTCTGAGAAGTGTCCCTAAAGAGGAATGCCCTTCTTACCCTGCCCTTCCGCCTTTCTGCTCGCTGGAATGGTGGATGTGATGGCTGGATCTGGTGTGGCCATCTGGGACCACGTGGTGACGCAGAGAACAGAGGCCACACATGGTGGAGCAACAAGACAGAAGGAGCCTGGGCCCCTGAGGACACTGAGGAGCAGAGCGGCCACACTAGCCCTACCTGCCGTGGCTGTCACTTAGGATAGAATTAAAATTCTATTCTGTTTAACAACTATTATGTTGGGCTTTCTATCACTGGAGCCGAACCTAAGCATAATTAATAGAGAAGCAGCAGCAGACCCAAGACATACTTGGGAGGAGAACCCAAAAGAACTCGGCAACGACCTGGATCTGGGGGTGAGGGAGCCCGAGGAATCAAGGATCACCCCTGGATTTCTGGATTGAGCAACCACATAGATGGATGGTGATGCCATCTGCTGAAATGGAAATGCTTGGGTGGGAGCAGGTAGAGAGAAAAAGAAAAAGGCTCCAGAGCCAGTGAGGGACATCAGGAACTCCAAGAGGAGACCTGTGCTTAGCGTGCAACCCCACCCAGTAATGCTCCTTATTCGATCTAAATACATGAAAACACCACTGCAGCACAGAAAGAGAAATGGAGTAGGAACCAGAAGACATGGATTCTGTTTCTTCACTGCCTCCTGTGCAAGCTTGGATGGATCACTTCTCATCCCTGAGCCTCAGTTTTCTCATCCATAAGATGGGATACTGCCTTCCTTCTTACCTCAACGGGTGGTAGGAGGACATGCTAGTGGACCACATGTGAAAGCACTGTAAACTATAAGGTGCCACCCAATCAAGGGCAGTAACGGTACAGGGGTAGCTAATAAACCGTTGGCAAAGTGTTTAACCCCCCGGGACGGCGGTCTGCCCACAGTGGGGCTCAAGCTCACTGAGAAAAATCTGGACTCCTGTCAAGGGATATTGACAACTGACAGGACTTGGTGATGACGTGCACGTGGAGGGTGGGGGAGCCCCAGGTAGGGCACCTCAAACGTAAGGGTGAATGCCCTTCAGAAGGAGTGGACCCACAGCCTGGCCAGCTGCATAGTCGGAACAGCAGCCCTCAGCTGCAGGCCTGGGGAGCTTCTGCAGCTGCAGGTGGAAGCCGGACCGTCCTGACCAGGGCCAGCAGCTCAGGCCCATCTGCACCCAGAGTTTAGACTAGTCCTCCTGTGTTAACACTGCGTCTGGACTGGGTGCACAGTCCCACTGTGGGTGCCTCTGCCTCAGTTTCCTTTTGGAGCCGGGCCCTGAATTCTCCCCTGATTAGCAGGGGCCCTGATCCCCTGCCTCGCTCTTCTCCTGGTGGCTGGACCCTGACTGGCAGCTCGACACCTTCTGATACTCTTGCTGCCGTGCCTCCTCAATCAGAATGATGCCCAGAGGTTCCCTGCAGCCTCCCTTCTCACCAGAGCCCTGGATGCACCCAGAGTCCAGCCAGAGCCATCTGCCTGCAGGCTCCCCCTCCACGCCTCTGCACATCTGAAACGACCGTATCCACTTTGTTCTGCTAGATACACTCCTACTCTTTCCTCCAGATGCAGAGTAGCCCACCAGGGAGCCATCACCTCCTGTGACCCCACTGTTCCTCACACGGTATTACAACGCCTGGTTTGCAGGGGGGCCTCCCCCAAGGACTGCACATTCCTTGAAGACACAGAGCATGTTCTGTCATCTCACAGCGCCAGCTGGGCCTAGCCCAGGGCCCTGGGCTCTGGAGACACTGGAGGTCGCCGATGCATGGTGAACGGAGGGATGACAGGAAAAGCCAGATGGGTGAACACGGGAGGAAGGGCTCTCAGTACCAGCCAACTCAACGCTAGTCCGTCAAGCTCCTCTGGACCCTGCATTTGGGGTCCTTGGCCACTCCCCTCCACTTTTCTCAACCAGCCCTGCAGCTGGCTCGGTCCCTTCAGCCCTGTCCTGGCTTGCTACCCTTCCCTCTAGCCCATGGGAGGCCCAGCATGCCCTGAAAAGTGACAGCTGTCCAGCCCCTACAGGCCCTCCTCAACAACCCCTGTGCAGCCCGACAAGGACGGTCGCGCCTTTAAAGATCAGGGCTACAGGGGATCCCTGGGCCTTACCCAATCTGACCCTTCTCAGCATCCCCGCCCTTCCTCCTCCCTCCATCTGCACGAGTCAAGACTGAGGCAGGATACAGCCCGGTCTTCTATCCCCACACCCTGCCACAGGACCCTGATGGGCCAGAAGGTGTGGGGTCTAGAAAGCCTTCCCTGCATTCTAAGAGCAGTCCCCTCTCTGCCACCCTCTCTGGACCCCTGAGATGTAGCCCCAAAGAAGATGCTCCTCTGAGGGACCTCCAGTCTGAGACCTGGACGGTGTCAAAGGAAAGAAGCGTGTCATAGCTGATCATTACCCACCGGAATCCACTCTGTGAGTTCCTGGGGTTGACCAGGACGCAGTCCCAGGTGCGATGGAAAGTGTTCTGGAACAGAATCAGCTGCCCTTCCTCCCGAACCCGGCCACTCGAGGTATAGTCGGCCACAGCCACCTCCTTCACCCGGAATGGGTTCGAGAACAAGTTGCTGACGTTACTGAGGGTATTGACCAGGCGGCCGAAAAACTGCATCTTCTGTGGGGCAGGTGGGGAGGTCCCACCGCCTTTCCCCTCAGTCTGGAAGAAAACGGGGTCTCTGGTCAGCTGGGCTTGGTCTCCCATGCCCACCTCACCAAGTGCAGCGGGTTCCTGCACAGGCACTCAGATCGCACGCCACCAGCGCCGTTCCCGATTCTGGGCCTGGAGGCACCTGGAAAGGAGAGGAAAGAAAGAGAAAAGGCAGTGAGCGGGAGGTAAGGTCCGGTGGGAAGTTACAGAGCTGCCACTGTGCACAGATGACCAGAACTCTCCTGCTCCCTGACCCACTGGCCTCAACAGAGGCTCGGCTGCCCCCTCTGGAGTGCGGAGCCACACTGACCAAAGGAGAGAGCAGACGTGAACGCACGGGACAGGCCATCCTGCCCGTGCAGACAGAGGGCTTCTCACTCCGCAAAGTAGGGAGTCAACTTTTTGGTAATCAGAGAGCTTGGCAGGGGTCATTTCAATTCCACAAACAAAACCAGTGTCCCCTCTCGACCAGACACCGCAAGCAGACCAGGATCATCTCATTCTCCATCGGGGGGACAGAGGGACTGTAAGCATTTGTCTAAAACCTTTGGCGCCTGCCACCACTGGTTTCCCAAGGAGCTCTGAGAGAACACAGAACCAAGCTCCTCGGAAACGAGAGTGAACGCAGAGACTTCGAAACAGCGAACACGTGTTTGGGTGGAAATTTTACACTTCACATTCACAGGGTCACAGTTTCTGCTATGGAAATTGTCCCCAGTTTGGATGACTGAATTAGATGTCTCGTTATTTCCTGGGCTCCCAGAAAGCATACTGCCTTCCTAAGGCACTGCTACTAAAGCCAGGAGACAATCAGCTGGAGGCCATCCTCTGCCTCTGTGCCAGGATGTCACTGCCAAGAGCGGGTCAGGCTCTGAGGACAGAGCGTGGGAGTGTGGGTGCCCGGGCGAGAGGACATCTGAGCAGACACTAGTTTACACCTGGCCTATGTGTTGAGGAGGGGATCAACCTTAGGGATAAAAGGAAGAACACGAGGCCTACAAAGAATCATCTACGAAGGTAATAAGGGTCAACAATGAGAATTCCACCAAGAGATGGTTACTGAGCACTTACGAGGTAGCAGGCCCCAAGCTAAGCACTTCACGTAACTGTCTCATTTAATTCTCTCAAAACCACATGAGGAAGATGCACTGAGCACACAGCACAGCTCTGCAGCAAAAGTGCATTCAAATCCTGGCCTCACCACTTACCAGCTGTGGGACCTTGGGCAAGTTACTTAACCTCTCTGTGTCTCAGTTTCCTCATCTGTAACATGAGGACCATAACAGTGCCCAATAATAGAAGCTGGCAGATAGTAAATGTTCAATAAACATTAGCCCTCTTTACTTCAATGATCCCCCTTTTACAGATAAGGAAACTGAGGCTCAGAGAACCATGACTGCAGAGCTTTGAAAACGCTCTGAAGCTTTGTAATGTCCTTCTTTTTATGATTAGTAGTAAGATGTGGTGGGAGCAGACTGTGAGCCTCAGTTTCCCCCTTAAAATGAGGACGATGCTCACCTCTCCTATGTTGAGGATTAAATGAGAACGCTCGTGAGGATGCCTAGACCTGTGTCAAGTTCCTTCTTTCTTCTGCACTTGGGAACTGTAAGGACAGAGAGCTGGGTGCCTGCGCCCCTCCCCACAGCCAGGGGAGAGGGGAGGGACCCCAAGGGAAGGCGTGGGAATTGGTCCCAGGAGACCTCCCCAAAACGGATGACACAGCATGCATATCAATGTGCATTATAACGATTTTCGTTTTGACACAGACAGGGAAGCAACTTCAACATCCATCATTACAGGAATTGTACATCATGATACGTTTGCCCCAGAGACACGTGTGGGCATTAAAAGCTGTGACTGTGAAGGTTATAACAACTCAGGAAAAGTGCGCGGCGTTCTGGTACAGGCTCAGGGGCGTCGAGTCCGACACTCCCTGTGCTGTTCGTGGGCTGCAAACACGGCCTGCCGAGCCCCTGCCCGGCCCTGCAGCCCCCTGCGCGAGTCCCGCCCTGTCCCGCCCTGTGCTCCAAACCACGCACGATCCCAGAAAGCAACGCTGTTTCACACCTCCCTGCCTGTCCACGCTGATCTGTCTATCCGCAATGTCCTTCCTTGTCTGTCTAGAAGAGCCCTCATCAGTCTTCAAGCCCAAGCTCGGCCACCACACCCTCCTTAAAGTGTTCCTGATGCCCTGGCCCAGCCGCCAGGTTCTCCCTCCCTGTTCTGTGCTGCCCGTCACTTTCAACACATTTCTATTATTAGAGCCCAGCCTGTTATGACGGCCCCCGCCGCCAGACTGTACGCTGCACAATGCTAACCCCACCAAACGCTCCCGTGCTCTTTCTGTGCTCTGGCCCTGTTCCCAGAGGTACATATACTAATTATTTCATCTGCACCACCACCCTATGACATCCTTACCACTGTTATCCTCATCTTCCACGTGAGCAAATCAAGGACCAGAGAGGTAAAGTCACAGGCCCAGGGGCACACAGCTAGCAGGCAGAAGAGCAAGGACTAGAGCCCAGACGGGCTGGCTCTGGAGTCTGAGCCTCCTCAGGGCAGCTGCCGCTCCTCTGTACACTCACCCTGAGCACAAAGCTTGGCCCAACGAAAGTTTGTTAAAATGTAATTTACATAATTTACCAGTAAAAATTACGCACAGCAAAAAAAAAAAAAAAAAGGACTGATAGAAAATATACCAAAATACTAAGGGCAGATGAGGGTATTGGGTTTATGGGCAATTTTTTTCTTTTCCCTGTTTTCCAAATGGTATGGAAAATGATTACATGTTTTGAAGAAAGCAGGAGTATAAGCTGAGCCCCCAGGGCCTGCAGCTGGGGAGATGGGGGGCCCGTGGGGGTCAGGCCTGGCTCAGACAAGCAGCACAGTGGAGAGGCGCTCACAGGAAGCGGGCGAGTGGGCAGCATCCAGCACCCACCAGCCCGCTCGGGTCAGGGGAGGAGAGTCACCACGGGGTCCAGCCGGACGGAAGGAAGAGACCCCGCCCCAGAGGGGAGCCACCTTCCTCAGGACCAGGGGCGGGCGGCGGCCTGGCCACGGCCAGGACAGGCTGGCTCTCTTCCAGCCTTGCGGGGTGGCTATGAGGACGAAATGACACAATGGAGGGAAAGCGTCCAGGACGCTGGCCCACCGTGGGCACACAAACCGTGAACACTGCTATCACGAGGTGAAGAAAGGAAACTAAAACCACCGGGCCACATCCTGGAACAATCCTAACAGGCCAACCAGGAAAGTGGCAAGAGCACTCACATCTCATCTTCCTCCCATCCCACCACCTCTGACCTCAGAGCCCAGATTCTTTCCAGCACAGCTGCAGCGGGAGGACGCCGGGCTGGGGAGAAGGCTGCCATCCAGAACCCGTAAGGTCCCTTCCACCCGACTCCTTCCCTGCACAGCCCCGCCACCCCTCACTCTCTCTCCCTCTCCCTTCTCACAGCTGTTTGCCCTCTGACCTCCCCACGATGTGAACACGAGCTCTTACCTACTGACAACTGTCCTCTGTGGCTCCTCACCTGGGCTCGCTCCCTGCACATAGGTGATGACAGGGTCCCCCGACAGGGACCATACACTCCTGGGCACCTGAGGCTGCTTCAGGCTGCTCTCTCAAATGCCACAAGCAGTGAGACATAAACCCAAGAGCTTCTGTGGTAACAGTTGACGGTGAAAATTCTGCCTATCCACTCTAGGTGTCAGTTTTGTCTCCCCTACAGTGAGGCTGGGTACTTTGAGCCTGTTCTCCTTATTTTTGCTCACCCATCCCCTCTCAAAGGCCCAGCCTGCCTGCTTAGTTCCTTCAGGGAAGACTTACAGAGTGTCTGCTGGGTGTGAGGAGCCCCTGGAGGAGCTATGAGGCAGGAAGGACAAGCATTATTATCCCATTTTAGAGAATAAGAAACTGAGGCCCAGAGAGGCCTCAAATTGTGGGTGTTCAAAGGGCAATTTAAAGTGGGCATGTTGATGTCCACCAGGGAAGAAAAAAAACAAACAAAAACCCTTACTGTGATCCAAAGAGATTGGAACCGACAGGCAGACTCTTTGGTGAGTTTCTAGAAGTGGCTAGTTGGGTTCATAAAATGAGTAGTCACAGGGGAACCCAGGCCTATTCCCTGTCTCAAAAAGTGCACAGTCCCTTGCAGGTGTTAGAGTCTGGAAAGTATGGCTGGAGGAGGCGACTCCTTAGCAAAACTCTGAAGTGGGGACCGGGGAGAGAGGGCTTCCCAGCAGACAGAGCAGACGAGAACGTGTGGGAGGGCATGGGGACAGGAGCCTGAGGGACTCATCTGGGAACGAGCATTTTCATGGGGACTGTGCGGCACAGAGCGGGGACTATGGTTACTGCTGTGACAACACGAACACTGGTCACCACGGAGCCATTTGTCCAGCATCTGCTATGCCAGCCACGCTCACAGCCACAGTGAAGTGGGCTCTTTATCACTAGCTCACAGACAAGTAGACAAGCTCTAGAAGTGCAGCGGAGGATGGGGAGCATGAGTCAGTGATGGGGGTGCTTAGGGAGACCTCAGTCCCCAACTACCTGGTTCCTCCTCGGCCATGAACTCCCTGAAGCACTGTGGGCAGGTCTCAGGCAGAAGAGGAAGTGCAAAGCTGCCAGTCCCTGGGCCCGGTCCTCTCTTCTCCTGCTCTGGACGGTTATCTCTTCCAGAGAGCAAGGGGCCCTGGGTTTTCAAACTTCCTGGCCTGTCCGACCTGGAACGCGCCCCCCATTCCTGTCAAAGCCTCTGCTCGTCCTTCAAGGCCCCGCGGCCCCCTGTGATGGCTCAGAGCACTAGATCTGCCCCTCCTGCGACGCTCTCCCTTCCAGCTTGCACTATAGCCCTTTCCAGACACACACACCTGAGGGCCAAGTCCACCCCACCCATCCCTCACCTGCTCTGTGCCCACCGCAGGATGCAAATCGGACTCCGTGCTTACACGTGTCCAGCGGCTCGCCATCACCTTCCAGAGAAAGTCCAGGCTCCAGGGCGGGGATGTGAGCGTCCACGTGAGCTGGCCCAGCCCAGCTTTCCAGCCCTCCCCTCTTGCACTGCGACTCCTGCCATGTTGCACCAGATACCCCCCGGAGCACGCCCCACTCACGCCTCAGTGTACCCGCACACACGG